GATTATGGGGTGTGATGCTCATCTTGCTTTCAGGCTGCGGGAGACAGCTTTCCGGGTCATGTGGCCAGCATGACTAGACCGCTTCTGGTGCAATGGAAAACCGTGACGGAAACCAGAGTGCACAGAAACGCCGTTTACCTTCCCACCGCAGTGGTACCTATTTATCTACTTGCACTGGTGTGCTTTTGAACTGCTAGGTTGGCAGGAGCTGGGACAGAGCAAGTCAGAGTATATTGTATTTAATTATGGGGTATCAGAGTTTCTAGGGGTTAACCTAGCTGGGGTAGCAGGCGTGTTGGTTTTTGAATGTCTGATGTAGATTTTTTCAGTTTCGTTGTTCTGTATGGGACAATGACAATAAAGATTATCGTATCATATCGTATTGTTTTAGACAGCAAATGGGAGATGCTTTGAGCATGCTATCCTGGAAGCTGTTAACAGGAGCACCTACAGAGAGCAGGAAAATTAGGAGGAATTTTGATCTCCATCTTCAAATATCTGAAGGGCTGTCACATGGAAGATGGACCAAGCTTGCTTTCTCCTGTTTCAGAGGGTAGAACCTGAACCAATGTCTGACATACACACCGGTTAGAAAGGAAACTGCTGTCTGCCAATAGACCTGAACCAATGGATTCAAGTTACAAAAAAGGAGATTCTGACGAAATATCAGGAAGAACTTTCTGACAGTGGAATAGACTCCCTCAAAAGGTGGTGGAATCTCCTTCCTTGGATGTTTTTAAATGGAAGTTGGATGGTGATGATGATGATGATGATTTATTACGTTCATCAAATTTCATCCAAAGATCACAGATTGGCTCACAACGAAAAGAACACCCGCCAAAAAAGACAAAAGTAAACCAATTATTCTCCTCCCACAAACAAATTAAAAAAGCCATAGATTGTTTAATGAGCCCAACACCTGGTTGAAGAGAAATGGTTTTTTGCCTGGTGCCTAAAGATATGTAATGAAGGTGCCAAGCAAGCCTCTCTGGGGAGAGCATTCCACAAACAGGGAGCCACTGCAGAAAAGGCCCCGTTCTCGTGTTGCCTCACTTTGGACCTCTTGTGGATGAGATACACAAAGAAGAGCCTCCGATGGTGTTCACAGAGTCTGGATCAGTTCATATGAGAAGTGGTCCTTGAGGTGTTGTGGCCCTGAGCCATTTAAAGTTTAAGGAACTAATCAGTAGCCAGTGTAGTCGGCCCAGGATCAGCGTCATATGCTCAGACCCAGGGCCGGATTTAGGTTTGACGAGGCCCATAGCTACTGAAGGCAATGGGGCCCTTTATATGTCCAGCTCTCCTTTGTCAACAAAAAATTGTCACTGTTTTTTGTGCTGAATATATGGACCTAATAGGCATCTAAAGCCATTTGCATATGTTGCCGTGCAACCAGTCCATGCAGAATGTAGGCACCCTATATATAGAAATGAGCAAACCAGGGATATTTTAGGGAGTAGGCTAGCAGGCAGGGCCCATTGCTTCAATCATAGGAGCCTACACAACACAAAACACTGTTGCTGTATGTAGGCTTTATTTTATTTGTTTTTAATCTTATATTTTGGAAATGTACAACACTTTGAAATAGTGAAGTGCTGAATATCTTCTTGGGGGGTCAATATTCATATCTCCCCCCCTTGTTTATTTTTATTTATTTAGATGTTTTGCAGTGTATTGATGAAGTTGGGTATGCAATCCTCTACAGTTATTTCCAGGGACGGATTTAGGTTTGAAGAGACCCTAAGCTACTAAAGATAATGGGGTCTTTTACATGTCCAGCTGTCCTTCGTCAACAACCAAATGTTGCTGTTCTTTGTGCTGAATATATGCTATATGGTAATTTATGGACCCAATAGGTCCATACACAACACAAACACTGTTGCTGTATGTAGGTTTTATTTTATTTTTTTATCTTATATTTTGGAAGGGTGTACACTTTTTTTCCCCTTTAATTTTTTGGGGGGTCCCCAAGAGAGTGGGGCCCTAAGCTATAGCTTGTTTAGCTTATACGTAAATCTGGCACTGGTTATTTCCCCTTAGGGCATAGACTCCAAAGTTTATGAAGCCAGACCCTTTGCACCCCTGGAAGAATCAACCACATAGGCTTTTAGGTTGGCTTTCTAAGAAGCTACTTTGAAGAGGTCTGGAGATATTCTGCAGGGTGAGCAATTGGAAAGACTGTGTTTTGCACTGTATCGCTGATGTTTCATGCAATTTATTTTTTTAAAAAAGAAATTGCATTTATTTTCTTATTGATTGTAGACCCTGGAAACTTTTGCTCCCCCCCCCACACCAAACAATCAGCAGTTCTGACATCTGTGCACAAAATCTTACACACACACACAATAAAAAAAATCAGACAGAATGAAAAAAAGCTCAAAGGCAGCAGACAAGCCGCTGGCTTCCTTCCTCAGATATCAAGAATGTACTCAGATTCTTCAAACCATCGCAGCCAACTTAAGGAAGAACCTCACTCATTGAAAGACTCCAGGTTTGTGACAGATATTCATTCACAATTTATAGTTATTTGCAAATTGGACTTGCTATATGGGACTCTAGTGGGATTTTGAAATGTTGGGTCAGGAAATGAAGGTTGTGTGTGTGTGTGCCTGCTACCATTGTGTTTTAGCTCTGTTAGTGCCTGGTGTGATGAGTTGTGAGCCAACTTTTATCAGAATGGAACTGAGTGCTTTGTAAACTCCGAAGTCCCTGGTTCCGAGATAAACATCTCCTTAGCTGTAAACTCACCTATGGTTCTTCTATAAGGAAGCCTTTTCTCAGCATTCAAACCTGCAATATGATGATTCCGGGCGACATCACAGGGATGTTGTAAGGGCTGGTTTGTCATCTCTCAGGGAGCGTGTAGTTGCATCCGGGAGTGCAAGATTCTGCATTGAGACTAGATGACCCGTAAGGTCACTCCCCTTAGATGATTCTAAAACAAAGTTCCTTTTTAAAAAGATAATCTCCTGAGGTGGAGTGCGGACTCCTTCTTCTGCACAACATTCATGACCACGTTTCTTCTGGGTATTCTTGCAGTTCTCTTAGGGCCAAACAAGACTACGTTTAGTATTTGATTCACCATTGTGTGCTTGGTTTTCATTTATTATTAGCAGCTGGGGGGGGGGATTGTGTGTCTTTGTGTGAGCCTCTGGTTTGCAGGTAAGGATGGGAGAGATTTCAACTTTGCATTTGAATAAGAAACTACCCATACGGGAAGCAAAACTGGACCATCCATTGAAATTTGCACATTTCCTAACTTTGCAGGGCAGTTCTCGAACCAAGCAATATGTACAACAATGCATATTTTAGGGGAAAGTGTGCCTGATTGATGAAATCAACATGGAACAATGCATGCTATTGGAGGAAATTGATTGCAAGAATAAATGTGTGTACTTGTCAAAACTGGATACATAGATGTGTATATTAGGAGAAATTTGTACTAAATTTGTACTAAAATGCTGATGATTTTTCCTGAGACCCCCCCCCTTAAAAAAATGTGAATTGCTGCAGAAATGTGGAACTGAAATTAGGGCTGAAAAACTGACACAATAAAGACCTGATGAAGAGAGCACAGCAGAGGTTATATTTTCTGAGAATCCTCCAGAAAAATAATCTCTCAAAGGACCTATTGATGGCATTTTACCATTGTACTGTTGAGAGTGTATAAACTTATGGTCTCTGTGTGTGGTATGGGAGCTGCACAGTTAGGGAAAAAATCAATGCTGTCCAGGGTTGTAAAGACTGCGGAGAGAATAAATGGGTGCACTCTTCCCACCTTGGATCAAATCTATGCTTCCAGGTGCCATAAGAAAGCTGCAGAGATAGCGCAGGATAGTGTGCACCCCAGAAATGATCTTTTCCAGCTTCTGCCTTCTGGAAGAAGGTACAGGGTTATAAAGACTAGGACTAGCCACCTGAGAAACAGTTTCTATCCAAATGTGATTTTGGTTTTAAACGCAGTGTAAGGTAGTCTCTATGGGAGTATATTGTATTTAATTATGGGGTATCAGAGTTTTCAGGGGGTTAACCAGGCTGGGATAGCAGGCTTGTTGGTTTCTGAATGTCTGATGCAGATTTTTCAATTTCGTTGTTCTGCATGGGACAATGACAATAAAGATTATTGTATCGTATCGTACATTTAAATTGACAGCTCCACCCATCCCTCTTTGAGGGAGGGGAGATTGAACCCTTTGTCTCCACTGTGGTTCCGATCCAAGAACGGACACTCCCCCCCCCCAAGAAGCAAAAGTCAGGCCTCCACTTTGGGTCCCCTCTTTAGAACTAGCAGGCATGTGCAGAGTGCATTTCACTTTCTCAGCAGCCAACACCAGATTATCTAGGATAGAATCATGGAATTGGTAGAATCACAGAATTGGAAGGGGTCTCTAGTGATCATCTATCCCAACCCCCTGCAAGCCGGGGAAACCCAACACACATCTGAAACCGCACCGGATGCTTGGCTTAGCTTTGCAAAAAGTGCTGACAGTTTTATCGCTGCGCCGCTAAGGAGAGCATGAAGGATGCAAGGCTTATCCGGGTTTAAGGTGGAGATGGGCTTCCAGGCAGGCAACTTTGCCAACTTCTGAACTGGCCTCTTCAACGATCTCTTTTCCAGCTGCGTGATCCGCAGCCACTAGCAGGAATTCTGATTTAGCTGAAAACTGAAAAGTTCCACTCTCTGATTTCCGCAAACAGGCGCCGGGCGAGCCCAGCCACCCTTTGCACCGCCTGCCTTGCACGGGCGTGGCCGACACCTGGAAGGGGCGGGGGGCCTCATTTGCATTTGCTTCGACCGTGATGCATTGCGCGGAGATAGGGCGCGATTTCTCCGTGTTTAACGTGAGAGTCCGGTTCTGTAACCGCGGCAAAGAACTAGGGACCCTCCTTCACCTTATTTTTGCTCGCAGCCGAACGCTTTCGGGGATAACCTACGTGGCACACTAACCTGATGGTCAGGCTCTGATCCTGTGCCCTGGACTACTGGTAGCTGCAGAATTATACTCTGGCTTCTCCTCAGATCGTATAAATCTTTCGCCTTTTACTAAAGATTTCCGTGGGGAGGAGCGTTTATGAGTTCGTAAATAATTTTTTGAGGTCCTGCTTTGGCAGGGCTCCTATTCTATGGTTTAAAGATAGAAAAATGAAGTTAGTAGATCATATTTTGTGCTGTTACGGTGCTGGATTGCTCAATGTAACTAAAATTTGCGAAGGCGTGCATATCCGGGGTTCGACCGTTTCGGCTTCATACGACTTAACATCCTCCACTGCCTCCCGCCAGTTTGATCAAACTCATGCTGGTAGCTTCAAGAACACCATCCAACCCTCTCATCCTCTGTCGTCCCCTTCTCCTTGTGCCCTCCATCTTTCCCAACATCAGGGTCTTTTCCAGGGAGTCTTCTCTTCTCATGAGGTGGCCAAAGTACTGGAGCCTCAGCTTCAGGATCTGTCCTTCCAGTGACCACTCAGGGCTGATTTCCTTGAGAATGGAGAGGTTTGATCTTCTTGCAGTCCATGGGACTCTCAAGAGTCTCCTCCAGCACCAGAATTCAAAAGCATCAATTCTTCGGCGATTATCCTTCTTTACGGTCCAGCTCTCACTTCCATACATCACTACTGGGAAAACCATAGCTTTAACTATACGGACCTTTGTTGGCAAGGTGATGTCTCTGCTTTTTAAGATGCTGTCTAGGTTTGTCACTGCTTTTCTCCCAAGATGCAGGCGTCTTTTAATTTCGTGACTGCTGTCACCATCTGCAGTGATCATGGAGCCCAAGAAAGTAAAATCTCTCACTGCCTCCATTTCTTCCCCTTCTATTTGCCAGGAGGTGATGGGACCAGTGGCCATGATCACATACCTGCTTTTAAAGCAAGATTCCTCCTGAGCAATTTCCTTGTTTGCCTTCAGCAAAAGTGGCTCCTGTTTGACTTCCTAGGTTTTTTTCTGATGCTCAGCCTAACAGCCTATGGCAACACCTGAGCATCTGGGCATGTGAAGAGTGCCTGCACTATGTTGGTTGAGGAGCCCATCCCATCCATTTCTAGTCTTTCTATCCCCTTCCCAACCCCATTTTTGTTACCATTTTTGTTCCACCCTCCCCGTGGAACGCCCCTCCTTTCAGATGTCAAGGAGACAACTTTTAGAAGACATCTGAAGGCTGCCCTCTATTGGGAGGTTTTTAACGCTTGGTGCTTTATGTTTTTTTATATGCTGTAAGCCACCCAGAGTAGCTGGGGAAACCCAGCCAGATGGGCGGGGTATAAATAATACAATTATTATTACTAAACGAGGGGCGTAATTAATCTAAGTGGTGTGGTGATTTGAGCATTGGACTTGGGACCCTAGAGATAGGGGCCAAATCCCCACTTGACCATAAAACTTTTGCTCCTGAATACCAGTTGCTGAAAACCACAGAAGAGGAGAGCGTTGCTCTTGTGAGTTTCCAGTAATAATCAGGGGCGTAGCGTGGGTTGTCAGGACCCGGGGCAAGGCAAGTAATTTGCACCCCCTAACCCGTGGATTTGCGCCCCCTAACCCTAACCCCCAGATGTTGCGCCCGGTGCGGCCGGCCCCCCCTGCACCCCCCACGCTACGCCACTGGTAATAATAATAGAAATATACTCAGAGTCGAGTGTGGATTTCCTGCTCTTTATTCAGCTCATAGTGGTGAGGAGGAATGGAAGTTCCCCCGAAATGTCTGCTTTATATACATTATTTACACAATGGGCCCCACGTGATTGGCTAATTCCGGGATTCTCCTGTAGGCCAATCAGTTTGCGGATTCACTTCCGGCTGGAGTTGGATTGGGTGGCTCCTGTGGACCAATCAGACTGCCGCATTCTGGATCCTATTGTTCTAGAACCAATCAGACTGCTGCATTCTGAATCCTATTGTTCCAGGACCAATCAGGCTGCTGCATTCTGTTTTTTTTTTTTTTTATAATTGATATTTATTGAATTTTCAAAAAATAACAACAAAAATTTCCAAAAAAAAATATATTTAAGGATACAAAAAACAAAAATAGTACATAAACAAAAAAGAAAAGAAAACCCAGCCGCAAAGAAAAAAAAAGAGAAACAGAAAAACAAAAATATAAAGTCCTTTACAATCTCTATTGACTTCCTTTCTAGACTTCCTCCTCCCCTCTTTTGTTTCTTAATTTTTAATTTTTACAGCAAATCCTTTCTGTTTTTTCATAACAATCTGTCATTACGTTTCCTTATTCTATTTTCCCTCTTGTCATATAAAAACTTTAAAACTCATAGCTTATATTCAATATTTACCAAATTCTTGCATCATTACCTTTTACGAATCATTTACCAATCCTTACTTAAGCCATGTAATTTCATTCAACATCCTTCAAACATTTGTAAGCATTCCCAATATTAAAAATAAAAAGAAAAATAATAAGTCAAATTCAGTCCAGTCAGCTTCCAACCTCCCTCCCCTGGACCCGGATTGTCAGTCCTTTTAACCTCGATAATCCGGCTCCTTAACCTGGTTGTCTCGTATCCGAGGCCCTCAAGTCTCTTTCTTGCCCCTTTCGCCACTCTTGTTGATGATTCCTTTCCAGTCGTGGATGCTCCAGCAAGAAAATGCTTTTGACCCTTTGCAGCAAGTCCATCCCAAACCCATTGCCCATGCCAGACAGCAAATAATACCACTTCAAATTTCCACAAAGCTTGGAGACTTCGGCTACTCCAATCCTCTGATAGCCCATCACCAGACTCGGAAGGTCCAAATAACCATATGGAGGGGGTCGATCCATCCCCCATTTCCAAATCTGACCACATTTCATCTTTCCGAATCTGGTTTGTCCCAAGTTCATTTATCAAGTTCAAAGGCTGATCTTGCCCGGTCCAAGGGTCCCTCCATCTCTGAAGCCTCCGTCACTACAGCAGGTTCATATGCTTGTATAGCCTTTAACTGAATTTCATTTATTTGCTGCTGTGCTCTGGTAACTTCCATCATCAAGGTCGTCTCCTGACGCATCTGGTCCAGCTGGGCACTTAGTTTTGAAAAACCTTCCAGGAACAATTGTTCAAGCCTTTGTACTAGCATTGTCCTTCAAGGTCAAAGAAAATTCTTTCCCACGAGAATAGTCCAATAGTCATTCTCTTTTAATCTCTCTGCGTTGTAATTTCACTAAATTCCACTAGATGGAATTTTTTTTTTTAAAGGAATAAAAGCAACAGCAACAATCTTTCTTTTTCCAGAAACACTTTATCCAAAATTCCCTTCCAAATTCAAGAGGCAACAGTAGAATCAAAATGTTACCCTTCTTTTAACTAACTGTCGAGCTGGATAAACTTCAGAACGTCAATTCTGACAGCCCGCTCCTGGTTCAGGGCGGTGGAAAATTGCTTTATTTTAAACTCACTTCCGCAGGATTGAAAAGTCCAAATACAACCCCCTTCTTCTCCTGCAGTCAAAGGGGGTTCTAGAAATCTTAGATGTTGAATTCTAGTTCTCTTAGAATTTAATTTTCAAGCTTTAGTATATTTTGTCTTTGCTTTCTTCACATAACAAAAGAACGGAAGGCGACTTCCTGTTTAGACCTTCCCATTCCGAGTCCCAATTAAGTTCAATTTCAAGTCCAATATTATTTGTTTATTCACCAGTCTTAAAAGTGGTTCAACTCTTCCAAGATCAGGTACTCACGGATAGATATTTTAGATGCCAAATTGTCCAGGAAAAAGGCAGCGCTCTCCGATAACGGCAGTGCGGCTTTGCTGCACGGAGGAAGCAGACGACTCACAGCACCACGCACCTCCACTCCGGAGCCCGCTACCGGGCTCCTGTGCCAAGGGGAGAGCGCTCTCGGTGCCCGCCGAGTCCCACGTCCACAGGCTTCTTCCGCCTGTGGTTTTTGCGGGTCCCCGCTGCGCCGTAGCGGCAGGACCCAAGCCTCCGTGCAGCGGGTTCCCTTCAGTCCGAAGGGAATTCCGCCATTTTCCGGAGGCGCCACCCCGGAAGTCCCAGGCTGCTGCATTCTGAATCCTATTGTTCCAGGACCAATCAGACTGCTGTATTCTGAATCCTATTGTTCCAGGACCAATCAGACTGCTACATTCTGAATCCTATTTTTCCAGGACCAATCAGACTGCTGCAATTTGGGTCATATTCAACTCAGTACACAATAATAATAATAATAATAATAATAATAAAATTTTATTTATACCCCGCCTTCCCCAGCCAGAGCCGGGCTCAGGGCGGCTAACACCAGTAAAATTACAGTAAAAACATAATAGGGGGGAGAAAAAAATTAAAATACAAGTTAAAATGCAATTTAAAATGCAGCCTCATTTTAAAAGTAGCCCATTTTAAATAGTAGCCTCATTTTAAATAGGCATCTGATTGGCTGCTGTGAGAACAGGATTCTGGATCAGTTGAGCCATTGTCTCTTCTTACGATATAAATGTGAGAATAAATGCAATCCTAGCCGTGTCTACTCTGATCGGCCCCATTCCTTAGCACTTACTAAATGGGATTTGGTATGTTGGCAACCGTCTGCCTCGAGAGACAATGGAGTGTGCCTTTGGGGGTGAAGCCAAACCTCTGTGTTAGCAGCGCCAAAGTGCCCTCCTTGGGGCGCCAGCCCGGGCAGTGTGTCTGGAGGTCCTGGGCTGCCCAAATGACAAGACCCCCCTCTCAGTCTCACTGATGTGGTCCAAAGGAAAACAAAGCAAGACACTTGGCACCAGCTTGGCTGCAGGACGTGCCGGAAGGAGCCACACAAGATGCCATCTAACCATCTTACAAACTCCACCCTGGATTCGTGTAGGGTTTACCCCTCAGCCTTTTCTTCTCTTGACAATGTTCCCCAAGGCAGTGGAGGTTTAGGATCAGAGTTTTCAATAATAATAATAATAATATTCCGTCCATCTGGTTAGGTTTCCCCAGCCGCTCTGGGCGGCTTCCAGCAGAATATAAAAACATAATAAAATGTCAAACCTTAAAATTACCTTATACAGTGGTACCTTGGGTTACAGATGCTTCAGGTTACAGACGCTTCAGGTTACAGACTCCGCTAACCCAGAAATAGTACCTCGGGTTAAGAACTTTGCTTCAGGATGAGAACAGAAATTGCGCAGCGGTGGCGCAGTGGCAGTGGG